TTAGACGGAGTCGAATAGGTTTAAGCGGTTAAATAGAAACAACTTTTAAAAGGGCTTAAAATCTGTTTGCTCTTTTTTTTCCCCTTTGTGTTTTAATCCTTTCAGATATGTTATTGTGTACAGATAAAAATATTTCCTGCTTAGGTAAATAGCTAAAGCATCGTCCTGTCTTTGTGATGTTTCCTAGTCAGACCATAAAATCCTCTTTCTGTTAAAGTTTGCATCCAGCAGCAGAAAAACCTTGCAGGCAGACCCAACAGGCTGTATGTAATAAGATGGCCTATTTACTGGCAGCGGCTGTGGGCCCTGCATGGCGGCAGTTTCTCTTTAATTGATTTAATGCGTTATGTACCCAAAGAAGAGCTGCTCAGCCCACCTCGCCTGGCCCGTGCAGCGCAGCCGAGACTTGGTGGCTGTGGTCGTGCGAAGGGACGCGCCGAGCCTGCGAGGTTAACAGCGTAGGTCTCTTTTACTAGGTCGAAAGACACAGAAGGGGAAAACCCACAAGTTCCTGGGCACTCGGCTGTTCTTTGGATGCCGTTTGCAAACGTATTTCCATGGTCTTTCCCCTCCTGCCCATTCTGTGACTCCATCGCTTTGCTGAGGAGCTTTGACTGCCATTTTGCTGTGCTCAGCTCAGACAAAATGGAGGAATCAGTGACTGCCACAGCCTGTGCCTTCTAAAACCAACGATAGTTGCCTTTTATACAAAAGGGGATAATTTTGAGGATGAAAAAAATTAATAATAATAATCAGCATAGCCCATCCTAAAAGGTGGAATCTCCTTTTCTCCTGTGAACACACGGGTGCAGTTGTGTTAATTTCATTGCCGAAATGTAAATATTAATGCACCTTGCGCTTTGATGTATTGCCATAAAAGACACTGAATTTCAAATCACCGAGCCCACTGCATGATACAGGGACGTAAGTTAGCTATTCATCTTGATTTGAAGCAGCCCTCTTCCTAAAAGCTCACTTAGGGAGATTCCCAGTTGCCATTAGAAAAGCAAAATAAAATTAATCTAAATCATTCTAACTTTATATTAGAAAATTAATGATGGATGAAAGAGGGGTTTATAAAGGTTTAGTAAGAACTAGTCTGGAATACAGGGTATATTCTTGAGCCTGTGATTATAGTGGTAATTTAGCAGATTGTATCACTGCCTATCTCTGCCAAAGGATGTTTCACACCATTTAAAATGCACAGTACTCCTTTCAGAGACAGGTTGTTCTGGAATAACTCAACATCCAGAGAAAGGCCGTGTTATTTCACTGCTCTCTTTATCAATTGCGCGTGTGCGATTGCATGTGTGTGTGTGTGTGTGTGGTGACTTCTCAGCAATAGCACTAAGTTTTCATGTTTGTTCTGTGTTCATTTATCAGCCTCCTCAGAGACAGACAATGCTAAAAAAGGAAAGTCATGGAGTCTATTCAGAATAGGGTTCAAGTGCTGAAACCAGAGAGGCTGTATAAAACAAAGCGTGAATTTGCCCTTCCTCTAAAAGGTGAATTAAAATAAATTTGGTTTTGAACAAGTTATCCAAACTCTGAGAGCTCCTTTTTGTTTCTCGTTTTGAAGAGGAACAAAACAGTGAGATAAGGACAAATCTTAGTGGTTTTTATCCAGCAAAGGTGATTTGGGAATCTCTAGACCAAATGGATTGAGATTTGAATAAATTGCATGCCTGCGATGCTTCCAAGACTAAGGATGCAAGTCTCCCAGTGTGCAAAAGATGAGCCAAGCTGATCTGTAGTTAAATTAAAGAATTTGCCGTATTTAAATTCATGTAGTGTATGATCTGACATTCCCTTTGACTTTCCTGCCTCTCTCTCTCACAGGCTGTTTGCTGCTAAGTGCAGTGGCTGCATGGAAAAGATCGCCCCAACAGAATTCGTGATGAGAGCCCTGGAGTGTGTTTACCACTTAAGCTGCTTCTGCTGCTGCGTTTGCGAACGACAGCTGAGGAAAGGGGATGAATTTGTTCTTAAAGAAGGGCAGTTGCTCTGCAAAAGCGACTATGAAAAAGAGAAAGACTTGTTGAGCTCGGTCAGCCCAGACGACTCAGACTCAGGTGAGCTTTTCCCACACCTGCTCCGACTGGAAAAGCCGCAAGGGTTTGTAGAACTTTCTTATGGAAAAGTATATCCATTTACACATCCACTTTATCCATATGCACATGCCACCCATGCAAATTAGCAGGCACAGCTGAAAAAATCCTTCCTTGCAGTCTGTTCTCCCTACCTTGACTCCTTTCCTTTACTTGCTGCTTAGTAAAGGACAAAACCTTTTTGTTTTGGTCAAAGTATTTTTCTGTGAGATCACAAAATGTGAATCAGGCTGACTTCAGTTACCTGAGGCCTCATTCAAAGTGTATATTGTTTTCCGTGGGTGTTCTTCCATCCAAATGAGGTATTTTTCAGGGGATCTTCTGAGCTATGAAAATGGGCATAGTAGTAATGCAGTTTTCAAGAGTGTTCTCTCTGCCAATCACAAATGGTAACTTTAGGAAAACTACAAGTACAACACAAGAGAGCAAGCGAAATCTGCTTGCTGCCTGTCCAGGGCGGGGAACACAGTCCCGCACAGGACAAGTAGTTCCCACACTGGATTTGGGTTCCTCCCGTCCAAACCCCAGGAGATCTAGTGGTGGTTACAGTGAGGACTGGCTTTCAGGCTCCCGGGCAGTTCCAGGAGAGACGGGATGCCTCCTTCCTCTGCCATGTGCGCTCAAGGAGACTGGAAACCTGCTGCCAGTGTGTCCTGGATGATCCCAGTACCAGAGACACTGTGTACACAGATTGCTGCCAGCCGTCATCATTGCGCACTCGTTTCCCAAGAAAATGTCTAAGAAAATGAACAATTACTATTCCATTAAGCCTACAAATGACATGACTGTTTGCTTCTGGTTTATGGGAAAATGCATTATTCCAATTTAGCTAGGAGCACTAATTATCCTTAATCTCTAGTCTGAAAGCTGTGTTCCCCACATTGCTGAATTTTAGATTTTCATGTCAGGATTGCTGCAAGACAAAGGTCACTGCTGAGTCAGCAGAACATGCGGGACCAGGGCCTTCCTTGGAGCAGCATGTTATTTGTTGCTGTACTGTATTTGCAGGACCCCGAGTGCTCTACTCTGCAAATCTCACGTCACAGGGCTTGATCTCTTCATGAATTTCCCCCAGGCACGTGAGTTTCACACTGGCCCTTCAGTGTGTCATTCTCATCCCAACTTCAGCATCCTGCTGTCTGCCTGCCTGTGTCCAGACAAGCCCCCTTGAAAAAGCCCTGGCAGCGATGGGCACTGGGATCCTCCTCCCCTGCCTTCCTCCCTCGCCGCGGGCTCTGGTGGCTGCTGTTTGCCAGCCTGCTGTGTTTGGGATCAGCTGTGTTTGGGGGTTCCGCTTTGGGCTTGGACGGGCTCACCCTCTGGGCCAGATCGTGGATTTTGTGATCAGCAGTATTCTACCACAGCAGCACAAACCAGCCTTGGGGTCCATTTCATTTCCCCTTGGCACAAGGGGTAGTTTCTTCCTCCTGGAGATGCTTTTTTTTTTTTTTTCCTCATTATCCTCTGTTAGCCAAACCCAAACCTGAAAAACAAGTTGACAAATTAAGTGGGATGTTTTGTCTCCCATTGTCTGATACATTGAAAACACAGATCTCCCAGATGCCTGTGTGAGAGCAAATGATTTCACACAGCCCTGGCTGAGAATGTGTCCTTCTCCAATCAAATATTTATCCAGTGGACACAAAAGTAACTCCCCAGTGAGCAATATTAATCCTCACAAACCTTTCCTTAGAAATGGCATGCTGGAAAGTTAATAATGTCATGGTTATTAAAATGACTGAAGTTCTCTTTAATCATTAGGCAAAAGATGCTTATTAAAGTAAAAGGTGATTAGATTGCTAGGTGCATAATAATCAGACCCTGAAATGAATTAAAGTCTAATTTGTTAATTCCCCAAATGTAATTTTTGAGTATATAAAAACTGCAGTGTGTTTCTTCGTGTTGAAGTCACTATAATAGTGTATTAATGTTTTCTAGAGGAAAAATCTATAGTCTGGTGAAATAAAATATGCCGAGTTGAAAAGTTGTTTTTCACAACAAAATTTGTACTTACTCTTCAACCTATGCCCCTGTGATTGAGATTTCTAACACACATAATATCACCAGATTGTACAAATATTTAAATTCAACTACAGAAAATACAAATAATATATTTGGTCTACACAAGCACATTTACTAAGAAAAAGAAACTTGTTTGTGCAGATACAGACACGTTGAAATACACAGAGAAAGAACACTGATGTTTTCTGTGGGATGCCTAAATGATATGGCAAAGATTACATTTAATATTATGTCTAGAGCTTCAAAATATTCAGAGCAACAACTGGAATCTATGCTGTATTTAGCTAAACAGACCAGATATTTTTGTGATAGTTGCATTCACGCTGTTTTGTGCCGTGGCAGCGTGGACAGTAGTGCCTGTCTGCAGCAAATGCTTGGGGAGAAGATGCCGCTCTGCTGGGGAGGGAAAGGTCTGTGTCAGTTGCTGTGGTTGCAGGAGGTGAGCACACAGGGAACAAGTGATGCTGGAGGGGCACATGGTCTCTCTGTGTCCAGTTCCTGGAAATACTGAAGCATATTCTGAATTTCCATCCCCTGGTGAGTCCCATGCCCTCAGTTAAAAATTAAACACGTTTTTATGCTTTTGTGGCATTTGATTTAGGCAGTGCACTCAGATCTAAGATAGTCTCTTCCTTCTCGCGTGTGGTTGCTTTAGGCATTCAAATAAAGATGGGATGATTGTTGAATCTGTTGACTAGTATGGCAGCTGAAGAGCAGTCCTCAAACACCCTGTTGTCATGGTGGAACAAGTACTATTTTATGTCCTGTTTATTTTTCACCAGTTAAAAGTGATGATGAAGATGGAGATGTTAAGCCCACCAAAGGACAGGTAACCCAAGGAAAAGGAAGTGATGATGGGAAGGACCCAAGAAGACCTAAACGACCAAGGACAATACTTACTACGCAGCAGAGACGAGCATTCAAAGCATCCTTTGAAGTGTCTTCCAAGCCCTGTAGGAAGGTAGGTGCTTCGTCAGGGACCTGAAGTCAGACCTCTGACACTAGGCCCCAGGGGTGATGGGGTCAGGCCACAGCTCCAGATAGGCCCCTTCCCCTTTCCCAGGACAGCAGCAGATATTTTGGGGGGGTAAATACAGAGACCAGGCCAGCATATGGCAATGCTCTCCCAAATATTATCTCAGCCTGGAGCACTGAGCAGCTTAGGACCACCTCACTGTTATTTCTGGATATTCACCCAGAGCAGAGCATGCAGAACAGCTCTGTGACTGACTCCTGC